CTCAGTTGGTACTAGAAAGGAACGTTAAGTAATTTATCAGCAAAACTACTATTAATGCCGACAGATTACATCCAATCAAGTTCTTCAATTAAGAGAAGAGCAAACACACGGGCAGTCCCCGACTTACAAATGAATGGCGCTGAGCCATTGACATGGCGGACTTCAATAATAGTGACAGCAATATTTTGAACTGCACCTTTGTGTGGCACCCTGGAGGTCACCACTGGTAGGACACCATGGTAATATTCTGATGAGAGAAAATGATTATTAAAACGAAAGATGACTGCGGGTCAGACAACAAGAACACATTCCTAAATAGATCAGCTACTACAAGTTGCTAAGCTCTGGGAGTGCTCTTTGTAGAAGCCCATGTAGCTGTGCTCCTCTGTGGCCATAGAGGAGCATGGACCTGGGGAACCAGGCTGGGCACCATGGCCTCTCCTGGCCTTGCTCAACAGAGCAAGCCTGACTGGCCTGACTCCATCCTACCCATCCTTGATCAACACCCCTTATTTGTGCTTCATGTGCTGTAGATTTTAAGGAAAGGTTCAGAGTCAAGCCCAGCAGTAAACTGGTGGAGGTCACTGGCTCCTTGCCCACCTGTTAGTGTGATCTAGACTGGCAATATCACAGAGGCACACATTGTAGGTCAAATCGAGGCCATAGGGGTTCACCTGCCTCAGATGGATGAGTCCTCTTCTGAGGCTCACAGCTTGACTATAAAACCTGGGTTTTGCTTTTGAGAAGTAAGATCAATTTTCTGATACCAAGAAGCAAAGAGGTTCAGCATCTAGGTCTCAGGAGTGGCCAATGGAAGCCAAATTCAGGGGCCTGAAACCAGAGGGGATCTTATAGCAAGGTTAAAGATCAAGCTTAGGAGCTGGAGCAACAGCTCAGAGGTTAAGAGCACTGGTTGCTCTTCCAGAGGTCCTGAGTTCAATTCCCAGCAACCACATGGTGGCTCACAACCATCCATAATGAGATCTAGTGCTCTCTTCTGGCCTGCAGGCATACATGGAGGAAGAACATTGTATATATACAGAGAGAGAGAGAGAGAGAGAGAGAGAGAGAGAGAGAGAGAGAGATCAAGCTTAGCTGGAGCTGTGGAGTCTATGCTCCTCCTGAGGCATGTCGGGTCTCAGACAAGTTGCTTACCTTCTCTGGGCCCCACAGCGGGGCATACCAGGGATTTAGGAGTGTCCTGATCTCTCCCCACTAATAGGCTCAGATCTAAAGCTGTGTGCCTCTATGGTGTGGTCTCCAGTCTCTCTTCCCTTCTGTTTGCACAGCACAGAAGCAGTACACTGGTCCCTGTGCTGCAGCCAGGCTCTCAGCTTGGGAGAGCACAGGTGTACGGTGCTATCCAACACCACAGAGGAACCTGAAATCATCCTAGGCTAGCATATTTACACCAGAGAAATCGGCAGACACTATACATCAGAGTCCCCACTCTCATAGTTGGATATCAAGCATTTGCCAACACACTCCTGGGTATGAGTATTAAAATAAATTATTCAAAGACCAACAATGTCAAGTCCATTTAAAGACTTGCTACAGGAACATGGAATGTCCTGCATCTCAAAAGGTTAGGGACAGCTGGGTGGTGGTGGCACACGCCTTTAAGTCCAGCACTGAGAAGGCAGAGGCAGGTGGATCTCTGTGAGTTCGAGACCAGCCTGGTCTACAAGAGCTAGTTCCAGGGCAGCCTCCAAAGCTACACAGAGAAACCCTGTCTCAAAAATCAAAAACAAACAAACAAAAAAAGGTTAGTGACTCAGATATCCCTCTCCAGAGAAATCACCTTCTGAAGTGATCTCTGTGAGCCTGTATCGTGACAATTCAAGGATACAGTCACCGAAGCCACCAGCCTGGTCTGTGGTCTTCTCAAAGCCCCCGTCACACTCCAGCTGTGGCAGAGAAAGAGGAAAGGGACAGCAGAGCTTCTTAGGATGCAGTGGGAGTGGGGGGGAGGGCACAGGTTCCCTCCCTCCAGTCTCAGGATGGCCACTGTCACCATAGCACACCCTATCACATGACTAGCCCCTTAGGCTTCGAGGAGCACCCACAGATTTCAAAGCTATCATGTTCACCCCCTCATAAAGAACTCTTAAAAACTGTATGGGGAGTTGGGGAGCTGGCTCAGTGTGTAAAGAGACTTGCTGCCAAGCCTGGTGACCTGAGTTCAATTTCCGGGTTCACATGCTGGAAGAAGAGCACTAATTCCTGCAAGCTGATTCTGATCTCCACACTTATGTCATGGCATGCAGGTGTGTGTACACACTAATTTAAAAAGAAAAAGCCATTGTCTGCATGGAGGGCTGGCAAGATGGTTCATCCAGTAAAGAACTTGCCTCCATGCCCGATGACCCGCCCTAGTTTGCTTTGTAGCCATGCTAAATACCATGACCACAGACAACCTGGAGATGGGTTTGTTACACTTCCCACTTTACATGCCATCACCAAAGGGAGCCAAGGAAGGAACCTGGCGGCAGGAGCTGATGCAGAGGCCATGGAGGAGTGCTGCATACCGGCTTGCTCCCTCTGGTTTATTCAGCTACTTTTCTTCTGCAGCCTAAAGCCCCCTGCCCAAGGACAGCACTGCCCACAGTGGGCTGGGGCCTCTTACATCAATTAGTAATCAAGAAAATGACCTACAAACTTTCCTACAGGCCAATTTGATGGAGACAATGCCTTAATTGAGATTCACAAGACCTACCAGCTCATGACCTTAGCTCAGGTTCCTGCATGGCAGAAGGAGAGAACCAACTCCTGCATGTTATCCTTTGACCACAACACAAACACCATGCATATACATGTCACACACATGAAATAACAAACAAATAAATACATAAATAAGTACATACAATGTAAAAAAGTAAGCTATGTGGGGGAGAGAGGAGGCGGCTTCTCTGCTTTTACAGATGAACGAACAGAAGGCCAGCTGGTTGTGAAGATGGAGCGGGAGGCCAGGAGGATCTAGTGGACAATCTCCAGGGCTATTGTGTGCCGGTTCACAGGCTGGGCACTGCAGAGCTCCAGGAGACATAATCCATTCCAGACGGGGGTCTGAATGGTCCCTTGCAGTTAGGAAACAGGGAGGTTTTGAGAGTTCGGGCCAAGGGAGAACCAAACCCCTGGGACCATGGGTGTGGATTCTTCTTTCTGCTGTATTCACTTTCTATGCTGTGCATTGTGTGTGAGCCAGCTCACAGCTACTGGGGATGGGCTTCTATGCAACCTCAACTGTTTCTCAATTTCTAACACGAATGCCTGTTTTTCTCTTAAAGGACTGAACTTTAACTTTGTCTGAATTGAAACCCCAAGAGGAAACTGTCAGAAGCCACACCCTACAGGGCACCATCCTCCAACGCCCCAAACACCCAAGATGAGAAGCACAGAGGAAAACATCCCAGGTCAGGGAGACACAGAGGTGAGTAAAGCTGGGTTCAAGCTTTACCTTTAAGATTGGACTGTAAACCAGGCCAAGTGCCAGGGTGTTACACCAGAGGTTACACCAGAGGAAAGGGGACTGTAGAAGGGTGCCAGAGGGCAGCTTCTAGGCCCTCCCTTCTATGTGAGAGCAGGATGACAATCAAGCCCACCTCCTTGGGGAGCCAGCTAACACTAAAACCATCAGATCATAGCTAACACTAAAACCATCAGATCACAGGACAGTGCAGGGGAAGCCCCACCCCAAGTAATCCACCCCCCTTAAGACCCTGCAGTGGAAGATCTGGGCTTCAGGGCTCTATAACCTCAGAAAGATTCCACAGAGGCAATGCCCAGCCCAAACCTCACTGGCTCACATTCTCATGAAAAAGCGAGTGATTGGAGGCAGCTTGGCTTGTTGTGAATCCCAGCTGAACTCTTCACCCTAAGGTGAGTCAGGAAACTCTCTGAATCTGTTTCCTTTCTCCTTTTCTGTAAACAGGGAGACAGATGGCATTGGCTGATGCTAAAGACTGAACATGTTAACCTATGACCAGTCTTTGGCACAAGACTAGGAAAGTTCATTTTGTCATGGGAGTACCAATGCTTTTCCTAAACGTTTCTGATTTGGAAATGAGGAGTTCAATCATCATATCTAGTGGGGGAGAAAACACCCCACCTCAGAAATGGTAGCGGCAAGCAAATCAACGCTGTTTGGCCAGCCCTGAAGCCTTGTCTGTGCAAGCAGAGGCTGTGTGCTGCGGAGAAGTTTCACATGCTTGGCTCAGGAAAAGGCCCCAAGGCCTGAATTTGGAAGTCTCCCAGCCCATCCCATTAGGAATGTGACCTGTGCCCTGGCCTTGGCTAGAAAGGCCACTAGACTCCACAACCTGGTCTTTGATGACAGGTGGGACCGAGGAAAGCAGGCTTTCCTCACTGGGAGGGACGGGAGGAAGGATGGCTGCAGGACAGGTGCTACAGAACTGTGGCTGAGGTGGCTGCCACTGGCTCAGGGCAAGCAGAGCTACCCACTTCTTCCTGTGTGTTCTCTCTTTCGTCAGACCCATTGGAAGCAGTTCCCTTTTCTCTCTCACTCCCACATAGAGTGTCGCAGTTTTTCTCTCCTGGCCACGGCACCCCCGACCAGCCCTTCCTCTCTCTAGATACATCCAGGATGTCCAGTGATGCTGCTATGGGTGATGGTTTGAGCCATCGTCCAAGTCTACCTACCAGACATACCTAACGAGGCAGATGCCTGAAAACCACGAACAACGCCAGAACAGAAGCCCAACCACCTCGGGAAAACTTAGGTCTGGAAGACAAGGCAGGTAAACTTCCCAGCATCCAGGGCTGGGAACCATGCCCTCCTCTGCTCCAGACAGGCGACTATCAGGCTACTGCCATCCCTCTCTCTTTCCTCCCCACCTGGAGGAGCAGACCGAGAAATATAAAGCAGCATCTTCAGAAATGAAAGTGGTTAACACAGACTATCTAACTGGACGGCCTCCCCAGGCTAACACCAAAGACTGCCCACAGCATGGAGGCCAGACTGCTGAGCCATGGATACTCACCAGATTTTAACCTCAGCTCCCCGAGGCAGCCATAGGCATCCGTCAGCTTGCCATACTGTCCTTTAATGACTTCCTTCTCTTCCGGAGCTGGTGGGGGGTGGTGGGGAGGAGAGAAACAGATCAGAGAGACATCAGCAAGCAAGTGGCTCTGTTCACGCTCGTTCATTCACACTGCACTTGCCAATCTGGCTCTCACCCACGCGAAAAAGGAAACGCAGACAATAGCACGGCCCACAGACACCATGTGTACAGGTTTTAGGATCCGAGAATCGCAGAGATGCAAAGATTTAAACCAGGCTTGTTCTCTGGAAATGCTGGCAGCTTCCTGGGGGTGGGCAGGGGGGAGGGTGCTGGAGAAGAGGAGGGAGCCCTGGGGTGGTTGGTGGTGCTAGGGCACATGGGTCTGGCCTGTTATATCACTCTTCATTGCATGACACACTCAGAACAGGGTGAGGTCTCACAATCCATGTGCAAGACTTTTTTTCCTTGAGTACCAGTCATAGGGAGCATCATCTAGGAAATGCCCAAGACACCTGCTTCTACTAGGTGTCATAAGAGCACAAGGGTAAGGGTGACTCAGGGCTGGGGTAAGTGAGCCTCAAGGCAAGCTGCAGACTTTACCTGCTGGGTGACTAGGAACAGTGTCACTACCCAAGCAAAGGTCCAGCCTGGTTTAGGAACTAGAAAGAAGGCAGACAAGGACCTCCACTGGGATGCCATGGGCAACTCAGGTGATTCCAGTAGAGGGAGCGGGGGTCTAAGGACCCTTTCTCACAATGATGCTTTGAGAGCAATACACAAACCTGAATCTCTGACAACACTGCACTGTGTGAAAGAGGTGATCTCTAAAGAGCTCACGAATAGCCCATGTGTGTAAAATATCCAAAGCAGACGAACTTAAGAGAGGCAGAGAGCAGATTCACAGTTGGCAGGGGCCGAGTGAAGACAAAAGAGCATGGAAGTTTGACGACGGGGGTCTCTTTTAAAGGGAACAAAAATACACTAAAATTAGATTGTAGGGATGAAATCAGTTGTGTGATATATGAATTACATTCCAAGAAAGCTGGTATAAAAATCAACAAATGTAGTTATTAAAGTATTGAAAAATTAGATTTAGTTTTTAATTGTATACATTGTATGCACCACATTCATGCCTGGTGCTAGCAGTGGTCCAAAGAGAGCATTGGAGCCCTTGAAATGAAGTTACGGATGGCTGTGAGCCATCATGTGGGTGCTGGGAACTAAACCCAGGTCCTCTACAAAAGCAATGTGTGCTCTTAACTGCTGAGCCATCTCTCCAGCCCATAGTTGGCAAAATATTTTTAGGTCTGAAATCCTTGCTTAGCATGTTCAAAGCCCTGGGTTTGAGCCCTAGCACCACAAAAAAAAAAAAAAAATTGTTATAATGTAGCAATATATATTCCTTATGGACAGTATCTTTTTAAAAATACTGATTTACTTTTATTTTGTGGGGGCGGTGCATGCCACGGACATATGTGGAATTCATAGGATAATCTGCAGGTGTGGTTTTTCTCCTTCCACCATGTAGGTTGGGGATTAACTCTGACAGTCAGGGTTAGTGGCAGGTGCCTTTACCTGCTGAGCCATCTCACTGGCCCTATTACCATCATCTTAATCAACAAAATCTAAACTGGGAGTGGAGGCTTACACAGTAATGCTAGCACTCAGGAGCTGAAGCAAGTTGACCTTGAACTGTCAGAAGTTCAAGGTCAGCCAGGTTGCAGAGTGAGATCCTGTTTCCAAATCGCCAAAGTAACAGTAATTATTACGAACAAAGAAATAAAACCCAGGTTTAAAAGAAATTAAATCACTTAATTTCGAATAAGACAAATAGATGATTTTTCAAGACTTCATGTAAGGTAGAAATGACAGAGAAGGGGTATGGGTAATAAGCTGGTCTAGTTGCCTCCCTTCCTGAGGGAAATGTTGGCTTTCGGTTACAAAGGATGAAAATAAAGGTGTTTGTTTTCTTCTTGTCCAAGAGCTCCAGGCCTCCCCCTGAGAGGCCGAGGCTGGATTTGTCTCTGCATCATCACTGAGGTGGGAAAAGAAACTGTGGACTTGTCCTCCCAAGCACCAGGAAGGGTTCCCAGAGTCCAGCAATCTCCAGGAAGAACTGAGATCCCAGAATGAAGCATGAGAGACACAGAGAGGGGGAGGACAGCAAATGACACACTCTCACACCAGCCCTGGGTAGAGACAAGCTGGGAACAATTTGGGTGTCATGGCTTCCTGTCCTCTGAAGATGTCCACCGAGAACAGGTGAGTACATTGACAGATGCCATAAACACTGAACCTAGCCTTTGCTGACACTTGTCCTGACATCCCAGTTCAAAATATCCACCACTCAATTTCTCTAGGGCAGACTGGACTTCTAGTTTCTCAACTGTTCCTCTAAAGAACATATACATCCATGAGATCACATGCCCTTACAAGTTAGAAACACAGAACTGGGTCCATCTGCTCACCATCCTCCCCCTCACCAACCTTTTCTCTAACTGGCCCTGGAGGCAGTACGTAGTGGTTTGAAAGAAATTGGCCCCCAAAAGAAAGGCACCATTAGGAAGTATGGCCTTGTTGGAGTAGGTGTGACCCTGTTGGAGGAAGTGTGTCACTGTGGAGGCAGGCTTTGAGGTCTCATATATGCTCAAGCCACACCCAGTGTCTCAGACTATTTCCTGCTGCCTGCAAAGACGTAGGACGCTTGGCTACTTCTTCAGCACCATGTCTGCCTAAATGCTGCCATGTCCCACTATGACGACAATGGACTAAACCTCTGAAAACGTAAGCCACCCCCAATCAAATGTTTTCCTTTATAAGAGTTTCCATGGTCATGGTGTCTCTTCACAGCAGTAGAAACCCTAACTAAGACACAGTGGGAGGCCACCAGGTTCCCCTTGGCAGAACTTGTGATCACTACCAAATAGGACAGAAAGATTCCAGGACTGGTGGCTGGTGGGATGTAATCTGGAGCAGTTTAGTATGGTCGAAAACAGACCCTCCATCTCTGCAGGCAGGATGGAGCCAGTAGGCTTTTTGAAAATGAAGGCTGACTGTCAGCATGGCTGAGATGCCAAAAATTTCCTATTGTACTGTGGTATCAGGCAGCTGGGAGGCTCAGTCCAGAACTGCCAATAACCTGAGTTCTCCCTTTAGGTGCACCTACTCAGTTAAAGCCAGATCCTTGACTATGCCAGAAGAAAAGAAATTCAGCATGAAGTAAAGTTAGAGAACTTACTATGTAAAGACAAGGGCAAGTGCATGTTTTAATGAAGCATAGGCATTTAGAGCATTTCTTAGGGAAAGGACAGAATACACTCAACCCAAGACACAGGCCAGGGCTTCTCAGGAGGGAGAGATCCATTAATCATCTTCATGAAGGCAAGACAAATGCTTTTGTGCCTTGTGAGTCACATTGCTCAGACTGTAGTTTACTAGGTTTGAAGATTAAGCAAAGTATAAAAAGTGAAGCTTAAAAATTAAGTAATTTAGGGCTGGAGAGATGGCTCAGTGGTTAAGAGCACTGGCTGTTCTTCCAGAGGTCCTGGGTTCAATTCCCAGCAACCACATGGTGGATCACAACCATCTGTGATGAGATTTGGCATCCTCTTCTGGCGTGCATGCATACAAACAGACAGAACACTGTATACATAATAAATATAAAATAAAGCAATCTAGATTGTATTTTGATACATATTTCTCATCTTAAAGAATTACCTCGAGGAGAGGACTCAGCAGTTGGAGACACTTGCCACCAAGCCCAGTGACCTGAGTTTGAGCTCTGGGACCCATATGGTAGGAGGAAGAAAACAATTTCCAGGAAGTTGTTCTCAGACCTCCACATGTGTCATGACATGTGGATACACTCACACGCATACACGCATGTACTCATACATATGAGTACTCATGCACAAAATAATGTAATACAGTTTCTTTTAAAGGAATTGCCTTTTGTAAATTAAATTATAACGTAGGTTTATAAGGTGTTATTTAGATTTGGAGAGGAGAGGAGAGTGCTAACATGGCAAAACCAACCGTAGTGGGATGCTGAGCTATGACATCTCATGAATGTATTCCTACAAGATTTTAAGGACTAAAACTACCTTGGGTAAATTGGTCTCCGGTCATGTAGCCATAAATTCCTCAAGCAAACTAGTCTCTGGACCAGCCATAAATTCCTCTACAACGTCCCTGACTCAAGGCTATGAGAACTGCCTGACCACTTAACTGCTGTCTCTGCGCTTCTATGAAGGCTTGCCTGCTGCAGATGTCCACAGCTGCCTTCCTGTGTATGTCATAGTTGTGGTTCTCGCATTTGAAAACTCAAACAAGTTGGAGGTCACAGCTGCTTCCCACTCCTTGCCTGTACAGCCTTGCTGACTGTGAGCTAAGGCTCCATCTACAATAACTTATTCTGGCCTCTCCGGGCTTTTCTTCAGGTACCCTGTAACAAAACTTGAGGCTACAAATATTCTAGCCCCAGTATGTACAGTCTGTGGTTTTAATATCCTTGTTAGAAGTGCAGAAAAACAAACACACACTCTGTCTTTGGACAGTTTAGATCTTATCACACATATTGAAGTTCCTGAGTCAGGGTTCCTCTTCTGTATTCTTTTATTTTTCCCTTCTTACCCAGCTCTCATTATTTAAGGTTGTTCTCTTTAAGATATCAGGATGGCTCTAGCCAACTACTGTGGCTGTGCTTCTGAGGAGACCAAGGTCAGGGTCTTAGGACCACTCCCCAAGTTAGAGATGTCATTAGTCTATAACCTTGCTGTAGGCGTGTTTCTATTTAAAGACACCTTATTGGATATGCACTGTTGGCCAGTCACATTGAACACACAGCCACCAGCACAAGGGGTCCAATCAGAATAGAGCTTATTATATGATGCATAATCAGAATAGAACTTATTACTATACAAGTGATTTTTCCCTAAGGGATGTCAATGCCTCATTGTCAGCACTGGGATAACAACCATTTGACTTTTGTTTTATTTATTTTTTATTCTATGTATATAGGAATTTTGCCTGCATGTGTGTCTGTGCACCACTTATATATCTGGTGCCTGCAGAGGCCAGAGGGTGGCACTGGATCCCTTGGAACTACAGCTACAGACAATTGTCAGTTGCCATGTGGGTGCTGGAAATCAAACCCAGGTT